ACTGGGAACTTTTTCCTTTTCAAAAGCCATGGCTTTTTTTTTTTTTTTAAAGATTTTATTTATTTGACAGAGAGAGACAGAGCGAGAGAGGGAACACAAGCAGGGGGAGAAGCAGGCTCCCCACTGAGCAGGGAGCCCGATGCGCGGCTCGATCCCAGGACCCTGGGATCATGACCTGAGCTGAAGGCAGATGCTTAATGACTGAGCCACCCAGGCGCCCCAAAAGCCATGGCTTTTTAAAAAATTGAATTTTTGATGAGCACTAGGGTCTATTGATGCAAAAATACACCTATCCTTCAAACCTTATGACCTTTTAGTTAAAGTAGAATTCAGAACTGTAAGCCTTCATGAAAACCAAAATGCCTGTGCAGCTTCATGAGTGTGAGCCCAGCCTGGAAACAGTTGTTTCCTTCAGGCCTAGCTCACATGTGGCCATCTCTGGAAAGCTTGGGTTTCTGCCACACTTCTCTCCTACCTGACTGTAGCACCTAGCACGCTTTGTTGTAATTTCTACCGTTTGTCTGCCTGGTTAAGACGAGGAGCCCTTTGAGGAAAGGGGCCATGCCTTATTAGTAATTATTATTGTTATTATTATTTTACTTTATTATTTTTATAGGCTTGATGCTGATCTCAGTGCCTGGCATATGGTGTGCAATCAAATGTTTTGTTTTATTGCAGGTTTCTATAACTTTATTTTATTTATATCACACATAATTAAAGAATATAGCACATGTCTACATGATGTTTAAACCTTACCAAATTGAATACTCTTGTGCCACCACCCGTGAGAAGGAGTATTATGGAAGAGAATATTTCCAGTACCTTTTAAGTATGAAGGTTGAACCATACGATTCAACAAATGTTCACTAGTTTCTTGTATTTTGCTTAATGTTCTAGCTCTTGGAAGTAATTTTGAATCTTGATTTGGACATGCTCCATCATATGGAGCATAATATCCTCCCACGTTTATACTGTCTGAAAATATGATAAGCTTTACTTCTGTATCATGGTCTACTTCATTGTTAAGAATATTGGCTAAATTAGACCATGGACAAATCTAGAGACCTTCTTACCGGGTCGTAATTACTTTTGGCTGTGGTCGTTCAATCTTTTCCCTGACTGTTCCATCACAAGCTTCATTTCAAGGAGAACCAGCGTGTATTTGGTATTGAACATATAATAAGCTGTTTGTAGTTGATGGCTCATTCCATCTTCACCAAAGTCCTCCAACATTTGTATCAATCCTCCCCTTTTTGAACTGAGGGAACTGAGGCCCAGAAAGATGAGCTTGTGTGAGATCACCTGGCTGGAATCCCACAGGCTGGAAGAGATAGGTCTTTGACTCAACCCACACTCAACTCCCTCCGCTCTTCACAAGCCTATAGGGGAAAATTTTCCAAAAGCTTTTTAGAAATGCAGATTCCCTAACTTGTTATCAGGGCCAGAAGGTTTGTTCCATTTGAATGAGTCTATGCTGGCTGTGATGGCCCTTGCTTTCTGCCCTTGGGAGCCAAAGAAGGATTCAAAGAAGCAATGGTAGCCTAAAAATAAGACCATACTTTGGCAGAGACAAATTTAGAACCTGCAGAGTGTGGTGCCTGGCTGCTTTGCATTTTTATAACCTTGGACATGGAATTAAACTCTCTCTGCTTTAGTTTGTACATCTATATAATAGGAATAGTGGTGGAATCTTCCTTCAGGGTTTTTATGAGGGTTATGTGGTTTAATTCCGATAATATGCTTGGAATAAGGCCTTTAGTAAGTACCCAGTCAATCTTGACTATTGTTGCCAACAGCATCACCATGACTGGAAATCAACGTCCTGTACAGACAGTTGTTATCAGTGGAATAAAAGGAACTCCCTTCTTTGGGTAACAAAGCAGCCTCCAGGCCAAGATATCCATCAGCATGGGAAAGAGCTTTCACAAAAATATCTCTAAATATTTAGGTTTACTGCAAAGAAGTAAAGCACACAGAAACATACAGATATGCCTCTCTCTCTCTCTCTCTCTCTCTGTCAAAACAAACTATTACTTGTTTTCTCCAAGAGCACAGGGTTTAGAAGTGATTGGAAATGCTCTGGGAAACATACTTCTGTGTGTTGGTTTCCTTGCTTTACTCAGATGTCTGATGAGAAGCATGTGCCATTTCAAACGAGTGAGCACAAACAGGAATCAGCTCAAAACTTTCTCCCTGGACAGAGCCAGGCAAAGCCTTCATCTGACATTTCTGAGCAGCAGACCCTCATCTTCCAGGGAAGCTCTGCCGCAGCTGACTCAGGAACAAGTTTAAATAAATTGTGAGATGGGGTGGACGTGGGGGGTGATGCATAACCTTCCAAAGCAATTTATGTATAAAAAGTTAAGAATAAAACATACCATATGATTCGAGTCCAACATCTGCCTGGGTTCAAATCCCACCTTGGGTGGTTACTGTGTGACTGTGGATGTCTTATACAACAAGCTCACTGAGACTAATCTTTGAAACAGGGCTAAGAGTTCTGGAAGGGAAGGGGTGCAGGGCATGATAAGAGATGATTTGACTTTGGCAGTTATCCATGTACCTGCCCAAACACTGGGTCCTAAGTGATTGTGAACATGGGCTTTCTTATTCACCCCAAAGCCAATCTGGGATGAGTAGTGTCTAGGCACGGCATGTGATAAATTTTCATGGGCAAAGACAAAGTGACGAAAACGAAGACCATTTAGTGTGTGCTCCTTCTGGTGGGAACCGTCTCCATATCATACACACATGCACAAACACGCACTTACACACACTTACACATGTACTCACACAAATACCCTCACACCTACTGAGTGACTTCTGTGTGTAGTTTACATCTTAATTCAAATACTGCCTCCTGAAAAAAGCCTTCTGAAACCCCTAAATTAGGTACCTCACTTATTTGCCCTTGTAGTACCTTTTGATTTTCATTCATTTATTTATCACAGTTTATAATTACACATCTGTGCAATGATCTAACTAATATCTATCTGAGGGTGCTCAGTGATTTGTCCCGTTTGCCCAGGACTGAATGGTTTTCTAGGACACAAGATCTTGACTGCTAAACCTAGGAGATTCCTGGCCAAACTTGAAGGATTAGCCACTCTCATCTGACCCCATCTCAAGACAGAATGCTTCATGAGGGCAGGGACCATGCTGTTTTATTTCACATTCATTGCCAGTGCCTGGCACAGGCTTATACCACATAGGGAATTCAGGAAACATCTGTTAAACCAATAAGGAAATGAGTGAATATGTCATTGTAAGCCAAACTGTCTTTTCTTGTAAAAGTCTTTCCTTTTTCCCTGACATTATTCCTATTTTAGGTGCTAAATGTCCCTTTTTATAGGTTATCTTTATTTCACAAAATTTAAAGTTGACAGTGTTGTGTAGTTCCCTCACTTTCTTCATATTTGAGGGATGGAAATCCCACTGATTTGAGGACTCACTAGTTTAGTGAAAAGGGAACTGGAATAGTGGGGGTCAAGACATTTAAAGAAAGCTTGTTCCTGTGCTAAAATGCTGGGCTATAAATTTCATGGAGGTAGAAATCATGAATATTCAGTTCAATTCTATATCCCCAGGATGTGACATAGTACCAAGTATATAATAAGGGCTGAATAAATATTTGTAGGATAAATGAATAAATAGATTTCCTACCTGTCCAGAAGACATGTGGGACTAGACCTGGTATGCTTCACTCCCTTTTCCTCCCCACCCTCTAACTATACCTCTCCACAACCAGAAATATGACTTCAGCATGCATCCCTACTAGATGGATGAGAAGCATGTGCCATTCCAGATGAGTGAACACATGGTCCTTCCTTGTCTGTCCTGGTTCATGTTTTGGTATATTCTCCTAACACCTGAAAGGACTTCTGTGGAACATAGTGTCTTAAATCCTAAGAGCACCTCTCCCTCACCTACATGGCTTTGTTCAGGCCATTCCCTTGACCTATCATGCCTAGCTCAATCCTACATCTATGTCCTGTTCTCTCAGACCATTCACGCCTTGCCCCCTCTGTCCCTCCATAACATTCTATGTTTTCTCTTTATCATCCCGTGGACCACACTGTATCCTATTTGTCTATTTACTTGTAAAGCTCCCCTATAGATGAGTAGCTGCTTGAAGATAGGAACTCTGTCTGATTCATCTCTTTATCTCCAGCACCCAAGAGAGGGAGATGGCATGCTAATAGTTGTGACTAGTAAGTGTTTGTAGAAGGAAGGGAATGAATCAGTTATCTACCACAGAAATGCTAGGTGACAAACACACAATCTTAGTGACGTACAAGACATGAATTTTTGTTTACAGGTCTGCCAGTTAGCTGGGTGATTCTGTGATCTGGGCTTGTTAGTGCTTGTTGACTAGGATGATTTGCTGATCTTGTTTGGTCTGTCTCTTATATGTGAGACGTCACTTGCTACATTTGGGCTGACTCAGCTCTGTTGCTTGTCCTTCCATCCAGCAGGTTACTCTGGGCTCTTCTGGCAAAGGTGGAGAACCAAGGGAAAGAATAGAAGCACACAGTCCTCTTCAGGCCTAAGCCTGGAAAACCGACACAGTGTTACTTCCATCTCATTCTGTTGGCCAAAACAAGTCACAAGGCTGACCCAGATTCAAGGGGTGGGGACTCCACCTGTCAATGAGAGGAGCCGCAAAGTCTCCTTACAAAGAGGTTGGATTCACGGAGGGAGGAGAATGGGGACCATTTTTGCAATGAGTCTACCACAGAGAGGGAGCCAGCAAGGAAATGGCTCATTAGTTTCTTTCCAAAATGATCTCTTTTGCTACCCTGACATCTAAATGAATTTATCAAGAAGGCCTCCAAAGATGAAGCCATGCCCTTCCTTTGGAAGGAATGACTTTCTTACCAAAGAAGGTATTTAATGAGAAGTTGAATTTCACGGTCATAGAAACTGGATGGGAGGAGGTTAAGGCTTCTTCTAGCCCTGAGCATCACTTATTTTCATCTATTTTGCCTCTTTCTTTTCAGATCAGCAAAGACCCAATTTTTGTACCAGGTGTCTGGGGCCCTTATTTCTCAGCCATGGTCCCTGGGTTCTGGCTGAATGAAGGTGGTCAGAGCGTTACTGGAAAACTGGTAAGTTGACACTTTCTTAATATGGGTCTAAATTTTTTTTAAAGTTTATTTTATTATGTTATGTTAGTCACCATACAATACATCATTAGTTTTCGATATAGTGATCCACAATTCATTGTTTTCATATAACACCCAGTGCTCCATGCAGTACGTGCCCTCCTTAATACCCACCACTGGGCTAACCCATCTTCCCCCCCTCCTCCCCTCTAAAACCCTCAGTTTGTTTCTCAGAGTCCATAGTCTCTTATGATTCATCTCCCCCTCTGATTTCCCCCCTTCATTTTTCCTTTCCTTCTCCTAATGTCCTCCATGCTATTCTTTATGTTCCACAAATAAGTGAAACCATATGATAATTGACTTTCTCTGCTTGACTTATTTCACTTAGCATACTCTCCTCCAGTCCCATCCATGTTGATGGAGAAGTTGGGTATTCATGCTTTCTGATGGCTGAGTAATATTCCATTGTATGTATGGACCACATCTTCTTTATCCATTCGTCCATTGAAGGGTATCTCAGCTCTTTCCACAGTTTGGCTATTGTGGACATTGCTGCTATGAACATTGGGGTGCATATGGCCCTCCTTTTCACTACGTCTGTGTCTTTGGGGTAAATACCCAGTAGTGTAATTGCTGGGTCATAGGGTAGCTCTATTTTTATCTGAGGCACCTCCACACTGTTTTCCAAATGTTTTTATAACCTTGACCAGCCCATTTTGTCGCACTACCCATATACCCAGGATCTGGAAGATTTGCAGGTTCCTAAATCAGAAAACTTAGCTTTGTCAACATATGGTGCATAGTCAGCATGCATTTGCCAAAGGAATAAATGTTGGTCCAGGCAATGATGACTAACCCATCTTGTCACCTATCTTTCACACAAAAGTCCTTTTTTTTCCATGGCAGTGAAAGTGATATTTTACTTTGTAAAAAGGGCCACGTAAGTCACCAGCTGAAATCCTTTAGTGGTTCTCCATAGCCTTGAGGACATCATTCAAATAGTTTTCTGGGCACGTCATACCTCTCATGGTCCATCCCCTCAATCCCACACATGTACTTGTCACTGAGGCTAGATTACCCTACCCACAGCTTCCCCATGACTTATGTTATTCTACTCTTCTGCCTTTGGATGTGTTTCTTTCCCTGCTCAGAGAGCTCTTTACCACTTCGATAATTTTACTTGTCCTTTAAGACACAACTCTACTTATAATATTCTGTGTTCTTATTGGTTTACTAACGTGCTATTTCCAGAAATCTATGAGCTCCTTAAAGGTAAGGGCCATATCCTACTTTTCTTTGCATCCAGCTCAGTGCCTGGTTCATAGAAGGTAGTTGATAAAAATTTGATGAATTCATGGGGTTGTCTAATAGGGAAGATAGAAGACCCATAAAAGTGAGATGAGTACTATACCAGGGGGACAAAGCACAGAACTGGCGTAAAGCTAGGTTAAAAAAAACTTTTTGCAGGGGAGAAAGCAGTTATGTTGAGTCTTAAAAGGTAAATAGAGACCAACCAGGCAAAGAAGGGTAGAGATACTCTTCTAGGCAGGAGAACTGGCGTAGGAACAAAGATATGGGAGTGACAAATAACAAGGCTTATTTGAGGTGATGGCACATAGTCCAGCATCTCAGCTGTGGCATAAACTGTTCTTAGAAGAAAGACTGACAATAAAAGTTAGAGAGCTGGGTAGGGACCACATCATAAGAAGTCCCTGGAGGGGCGCCTGGGTGGCTCAGTTGGTTAAGCAACTGCCTTCGGCTCAGGTCATGATCCTGGAGTCCCGGGATCGAGTCCCGCATCGGGCTCCCTGCTCGGCAGGGAGTCTGCTTCTTCCTCTGACCCTCCTCCCTCTCATGCTCTCTGTATCTCATTCTCTCTGTCTCAAATAAATAAATAAAATCTTTTAAAAAAAAAAAAAAAGTCCCTGGAGAACAGGCTAAGGAACTGATCTCTGTCTGGTAGACCAAGGGGAAGCAGTGCATGTTCAGATCTCAGTTGTACAAACTCTGGCTAGCAGCCGTGAGGAAGAAGGCCTGAGGGCACACGGCTGAAGATGGGGAGACCGGTTTTAGTCGGTTAGTCCACAAACAGAAAGCCATGGGGGCTTGAATGAGGAGGACAGGGGCAGTGATAACTGAGAACTGAGGTCAGGAGATCGACAAGCCTTGGAAGGATTGCATGTGGAAGGCAAGAGAAAGGGGGACCTAGGCTCAGTTAGCCAATCTCACATCATCTGTTTGTGGTCTCGTTCCCATACCAGCTCTTCCAAATGTTCAACCGAATGATAACCGATCGGATCCAAAGCTGGCTCTGGATGCAAATCCCCATTGTTTCTGTTTCTTAGTATGTGGCTGTTTTATACCTAGCTGCCTCAAGTTCTCTTTCAAAGTTGGTGGAAGCATAGGTGGCTGGCTGGCTTTGAAGCCCATGTTCTGTGCGCTTGCTTTTGTGCCAGGCTGCAGAGATGCATTCAATGAGCAAGACCTCCATCGGGCCCTGGTTTTGAGGAGCTCGTTGTCTAGTAGACAGTGCCTGTAAAAGAAAGAATATCTGGTTGGTCTGTAAGAACCCAATGCTAGAGAAGCTACGACACGGCTGTATGAAGGTGCCAGGGGATTCAGACTTTGCATTCTCCTACTGAAATGAGTGTTGTGTGTATACACGTTTCACTTAACTATCCATTCCCTTTCTGTGACATATTGAAAGCCCATTACTGAAATATAGCCTGTTTCAACCCTGCATCGTGGTATAATCACCGTTTGCAGACCCAGGACTCATAGAGGACACAATCCAGAGGCTTTTTTTTTTAAAACAAGGATAATGATCCAGTAAACCAACTCTTTGTGCAGAATGCATTGTCCACAAAGCTGCCCATCAACAGGTTTTCAGAGCCCTAGTATGCAAATTGAACATCTGTGTCAGTCTGGAAATACTTTTCCAAGTATTTGGCTCAAAGTTCGCTCTGTTGCTATGGATATAAGCCATCTTTACCCAAACATTATGACATATCTTTATGGATGAGAATTGGTTATGCCTGTTTCAGGATCCTGAATTTAAATAAAAAATGTGACCTCTTTTTGGCCATTAATAAAATCTTCATAATAGTCTACTATGACTTTCGACAGGAGTCATGGGAATTGTTAGCCTTTCTCTAGTTAGTGATTTTGCACTGTCACCAACCAAGCTGCACTTGGAGCCCGACTTTGGGCTATTCTACTTATATTTCATTGTCCATACAAGTGGGGCATGATTGACCTGTGCATTATAGAGAGCAAAATCTTAGGAAATCCAAAAGCTAGCATGATGGGGCAAAATGTGAATCAAGAACAGAAGAGACTGCCCAGTAAAGCAACAGTCCAGTCCGGAGGAGGCAAGCAAAGAGACAGAAACAACCTATAAAATAAAGAAATGAAATAAAAATAATAATGATGTCATATGATCTCACTGATATGAGGAATTCTTAATCTCAGGAAACAAACTGAGGGTTGCTGGAGTGGTGGGGGGTGGGAGGGATAGGGTGGCTGGGTGATAGACATTGGGGAGGGTATGTGATAGGGTGAGCGCTGTGAATTGTGTAAAACTGTTGAATCATAGACCTGTCCCTTTGAAACAAATAATACATTATATGTTAAAAGAAAGAAGAAGATAGTAAGAAGGGAAAAATGAAGGGGGGGAATCGGAGGGGGAGATGAACCATGAGAGACTATGGTCTCTGAGAAACAAACTGAGGGTTCTAGAGGGGAGGGGGGTGGGGGGGTGGGTTAGCCTGGTGATGGATATTAAAGAGGGCATGTACTGAACAGAGCACTGGGTGTTATACGCAAACAATGAATCATGGAACACTACATCAAAAACTAATGATGTACTGTATGGTGACTAACATAACATAATAAAAGAAAAAAATGATAATGATAATAATCCTACTTTATTGAGAATGTTTTTCTGTGAAAAGGATTTATATACATAATCTTATTAATCCTTGAGTGATATTCATGATAAGCACAATGCCTCACATTTATTTTGAAGGCTTATTTCCCAGTCTCGATGCCGAGAGCTTGGCATATACTATCTCCTTTAATTCTATCAAAATCCCTGTGAAATAGGTACAATGGTTATCCAAATACACAGATGAAGAGTGCACACTCAGGGTAGTAAGCACAGCCCAGAGAGATTCCTGATGCACCATCAGTGGCCTTTTTATGTGGCTCCTTTGCCGTTCATCGTTCCTTTCCATTTACTTATTCTTGTTTATTCTGTTGTGAAATTCGGGTCTCTGGTTTTACAACACATTGTTTTCATGTAGGACTCTGTGAGAGGAAGTTGCATGTTTTATGTTCTTTGTTTCAAATACACATCTCTGATATGCTGTGTGTGAAACTGCTCCATTATTACGTTGTCCAGAGTATATTCTAAACACGGTCACAAACATACCATCTGAAGCAGAAGAGAAGAGAAAGGAGAAGAGGGAAGGGAAGGAGGAGAAAGAAGGGAAGAAAAAAAGAAAAAAATTACCTAAACACTAGATTGGGGGGGGGGGGGGAGCTATTTCGTCTCATTTTTACAATTAAAAAAAAAAATCTTCCATCCCAAAGCAAGTCATTCCAAGTGTGTGAATAGCTTGGTACTGGAAAAAAAAAAAAAAATCTCCATCTGGTTAACTTCAGGATGAAGGAAAAAAAAAAAATAGAATAGGATCTTTTCTGGTTCTGGACCTCTTACAGTTTCATTTGACTGAGATTTGGATTCATTTTTCACTCGTTTCAAGCTTGTGCCACTGATACTCATTTCCTTTTAGAAGGGCACATGCCTCCAGCCCGTGGATGATTGATTTTAGTTGCATCAATCGGGCACGCAGCAGGGCTTGCCTCGTGCTTGTCAATACTCTCTCCAGAATAGCTGTGCAAACAACATTGCTTTTTTGCCCAGACCTTTTCCATAGAACACCAGCCCATGCAGTCACTGCATCCAGATGCTGAAGCTGGTTTCCAGCTGGCCCTTGGCC